TCAGCTGCTGCCGAGTTTGGCGTCCCGGTTCGCAGACGGGTGGGATGTCGATCCAGCCGCAGCCGCCGTCGTCGGTGAAGGCTAGTGTCATGGCCAAGCTGACGGCGGGTGTTTCTACCGATGCCGTCTGTCCCTTCACTTATAGCCTCGACGTCGGTGCTCGTCTATATGCCAGGATCCAGGCGCCCAAGGTCTTTGGATGGCCTGGTGGCCAGTACGAGCTGACGCCCAAGTGGAACAAGGGCATCATCGAGGCGGGAACCTGTCCTAAACTGGGCGCCATCCCGTCCAAGAGAGACCTTGATCTCGTTGAAGCGGCTGCCCATCTTTCTACGACCGACAACCCGTCTCAGCAGGGTGACACCAAAGTCGGTGGTCACAACGAACTCGAGCGGCGATCGGGTCATCTTGCCAAGAGAGGAAGCGTCCACGGCCCGGTGCTCAGTCTCCCTGTCGGCAAGTTCTTCTGCCCGCCGTCGAGCGACGACAACGAGAACGAAAGCAGCTCCTGCAAAGACGTCAAAGCAGCATGGGATCAGGACAAGTACCTTAATGAAGACTACGATGGCATGCGTAGAAGAAAGAGAGAGGCCCTAGAGGATGAGCTTCTTGACATGGACGACGAACAAGATCTGGACAGTGTGGAAGGGGAGATCCTGGCGCACATCTTCGGGAGGTCTATCAGCAAGAAACCCATCAAGGCCTGCAGCCTCAAGACGACCTTCGACTACCCAACAGACGGCTCTCTCGACGGCGACGCCCTCGTCTATGGCTGGGAGGAGCCCGACGTCTGCGGGAGCTACGACTGGGGCGGCCCGCTCGACGCCCGTGTCGCCGGTACATCCTACCACTCGGAGCATATCCTCGAGGCGCAAATGGTAGCGCAGTTTTTCGCGTACATGGACGAGAAGATCGACTCAGTCGCGAACCCGGACCCGAACGCCATCTCCAACAAGAAGAAAATTTCGTTCTGCGAGTACGTCAACGTCATGTTCGACATTGACGCCGTTTCGGCCCCGGGCATCGACACGGCGCGTGGGTTCGCCGCCACGCTGACGCCGATCAACCACATCGCCGCCCAGTTCCCAACGCACCAGTGGAAGACGGAAGAGTACGTCTCACTTGAGGCCGTTATCAACACACCCGCCAAGGGGAAAGCCTGGGGCACAAACGGCAATATCATCAACACGTCATCGTGGCTGACGGGCAGGCTGCCGACGGCGGCGGGCGCGAGAGCGATGCTCAAGGCAATGCGCTCTCTCGTCGGTTCCCGCGTGTACCACAACGATGGGACCGTGTTGAGCATTCTGCGGGCGCAAAAGGCTCGCGTCGGCACCGTCCTCGACTTGCTCGACACGACGCTGTTACCGGCGAACCCGCCGCAAGGGTTCACTGCGTGGCCGCAACAGGGTTACGATTTACGGGCTGAGTGGGATGCGTTCATGAAAGGCGAGTTTCTCCTGATGCAGACCAAGACGATGAAGGTCATTTATGAGTTTATTGGGCCTCTGAAGGAGCAGTGGACGGGTGATGCTGTTCGGCAGGCCAACGAAGACCAGGCGGGGGACAGCACGGCGGCTCTGGCAACCAAGCAAGGGGTCAGGAACCTCATTGATGATATTGAGGCCATGGACGACTACCTGGCGACCATGCCTGCTTGGCAGTCGGCTTTCTGAGTCTCTCCTGGGGAAATGCCTCTGAAAAGGAAGGTCCCCTTGAAATACCCGAGGTTGCGTAAAAGACAGCGAAGAGGTTTGAAGACGGATCAACTGAAATCTGATGCAATGTTACCCTTTTTTGTTCGTCTTGACTGTACTCTGCTCTCTGCTCCACCTGCGTCTCTAAGCAACGCTGTAAGGCTTGGTTTTCCGTTGTTCCTCAAACGCAAAGTCTAGCCACTCCTGTCGTCCAAGGCCTCCAAACAGGTCCAACACGCTCTGACTTGGTCTCCAGTCACCAATCTGCCACTGGACGACACCTTCAACAGTGTCCTCGTCGCCAGCCTTCGCAGCGAGGTGCCGCACGCCCCATCTATGCACGCCGTTCTCAGAATCGTACGGCGCCTCATCTCCGTACTCTTCGGCCCTGCTGTCAGAGGGACACCACGCCAGGTATGCGAAGAGCTCGGCGTCCTCGAGGGCGCCCATGTTCTTGACAGCCGAACCAAAGGCCAACAGCAAGGGCTCGATAGTTTCGGGGCTGGGCTGCGTGCGGAACACGTCGGGGAAGGCATCGACCTCTTCGCCGCCCTCGGGGTCCTCATTCCACTGTTCGTCCACCTCCTCGTCTTCAGTGGTCGTCTGCAGGGGCGGATAGTGGTCGGCTTTGGAGATGGCGAAGCCCTTGGGGTGGGGATCTTCGCCGCGCGGACCGACGAAATACCAGCGGCCATCTGGTCGCAGCGGGTGAAACTCAAATGGTCAGGCGTCGCAAGTATGACCACTGCGTCGACGATGGCGCATCAGGTGAGGGGAAGATATGTTCGGCAGATAGGCACGGAGATCAAG